TTAACCATGAATATTTGCTGAACATCGTAACATAGCAAGAAATTTATGACATTCTTTTGTTGCATTTTGCATACAATCATTTCGATTAAAATAATTCAAAGACCTGTTTTTTTTTTAAAATTTTTCTCCTTAGAATAAAAAACCCATAATACTGAAGGCAACCTAAATAAACCATGTTTTTTCTAACAGACCTTGCTTTGGAAGAGCTACAAAAAATGAGCAGCGCGATATTTTTTGAAACAGAAAAACCCATTTTGAGAGAAACGCGAAACAACGAAAGTTTTGCTACTTTCGTTGTGTAAATTTGATTTTTTCTTAACTTTTTTGAATGTGTGAAGATAACGTTGGAATCAAAAATGTGTTAAATAGATGATACTACTTGAAATTATACAATATACACCCAAAAATGAGAAAAACAAAAATTTTGAGTGAGAAAGAGAGGAAGAGTGCTCGTTAACGGAAAGTTGGAAGTACATTCAATGTAAATGAAAGTCATATTGAGCTTATTTTCAGAAAGAAATCAACTTTATTTTGAATATTCTCTGAATCTTTTTACGATTGCTGATCACTGAAACAGTCATACTTACCTAATAATAGATGATCTCTTCCCAAGGTAGATTCTTCAAATGATTTGTGAACTTAATCAATATTGAATAATTGATGCAAAGAGATTTCAGTCGACACCAAATATGAACACAACCAAACTAAATGAAATCTAACAAAGTTTCTTGGTCATCGTTGATCAGTGGAATATAGAAGTCTGACTTACACACAATTCAGTTGCAATTAAAATGAAAAATGGTTACTCAAGCATACTATTTTATACATTTGATAAACGATAGTATCACTTAGATACAGACAGTAACTAATTGATATGGACATGCACATCTGCTACCCATTTACTAGCAATTAATGTAAAAGAAACCAAAATAATTAAAAATATGCTATTGGATATCTTTGTTATTCATCAATTCGTTCGTTTTTTAGCAACGTCTAAAATTAGAGAGAGCTGTGAACATAGGTAAGATGTGTAGACATGATAAAGAAATGCATGAATGAATTTGGTTTGTTTTTACCTGTCTCACCTTCCTGAAGGAAAAACAAAACATCAACAGAACAGACACCTTGAGATGTGACGGGCTGTTGGTCTCTCTAGTTTGCGGTCGAGATGTGGTTGTGGTTTTGAGGAACGTATGTGAGTGTATGGCCTTGGTGTGAGTGTGATTGTGGTCCTGTAAATATCAGTTTTTCTTTGTGGGTGTGAGGGTGGAATTTGGGTACTGGCTTCATATCTTGCTGGGTGCGACTAAGTGTTGCCAGTGGTAGATTTTTTCTTATGGGTACCCGTATCGTTGTAAACCAATCAAACCCGATCACAGCGGATAATATGCAGCAGGACATATTTTCCATATTTTTCGCTTTCTATGAGTCAAATCTATCCCTCGATTAGTGATACCGATCTTTGAGTCGCTGCAGAAATTATGTAAAACTTCTGTTTCACTATTATAGTGCTTTTGCTAAACGAGATTGTCAATGAGTTTAAGGAAATGACGAGAAAATTGATCCCGTCTTTTGAGTTTGTTTAGAAGACCACGACAAGTATGCTGATATACTATTAACTTATTGGTAGCCTATAACAAGGTTTTCAATAAATCTTTGGAAATCTAGCGAGTTTTCCGATATGCTAAGTTTTTGGTTCTGTCATGATCTGTCATATAGATGATAAAGTTTTCCAAAGGTGAAAGAATCAAAAACTCTGTACTTCATTGTACTATGAGGGTATTACATAGCTTTCTTTTACAGCTTCTTGACTGTGTAGAGTCTAGTATCAGCATATTTTGTGGGCATATGAGTTTTAGTTTATTTTATATAACTTTGTCTAAAAGTAAAGACTAAATACCTCGTCTTATTTTATTGGTGCTCGAATTTTCAAGTACAATGAGGTATTTGGTCTCTAGTATGAGACAGACCGATATAAATTGAACTCAAACTGATATGCTCGTGGCACATATTGATAGTGGACTTGAAACAGCTAAGAAACTCAAGAGAATAGCTTTGACATACTCTTGAAAAATGCAGAACTACAAGTGAAGTACAGTGTTTTCACTACTTCCCGTGGGTTCTCCACAATAATTATAATAGCTCCACCGTGCTTCATATTTTAATCCCGTAGGAATTGCGCTGAACGTTTTTCCTTCACTATATATCTCTATAATTTCTCTCTCTTTTAAGATGTGTCAATGGACGTACAATTTCATAGGACCACAAACTATATCTTAGCTTTGCACAGTAATGAACTGTGTGTCCGACATAGAAATTCTGATCAAGTGTCCATGTAGTTTACGTATCATAAGGGGTTTAGTTTCTTGTCTGTTTTATCTCTGAGAAAGATATCGTATATATAATACGAAATGAAAATAAATGTCTAATAAGTTATAATGACAAATAGGAATTCCATTGTGTTGTGATAATATAACTTCATATCCAATGGACTTAATAAAACATATCAAGCAGATTTTGATGAATACTTGCTTAATAAAGCTATTCTAATGCATGTTCCCCAAAGCAATGGTCATTGATATCAATAAAACTTGTTCGACATGTGAAAAAGAACACGCAAAAATTAAAAAAAGCTATACTGAATATCACAGAAAAAGTTGTCTAGCAGTCGGTACACCGGTAAATAAGGAATCTACTGGACCGAACCGACCATTTACCGTTATCAATTGCGACACTGGTACGAATATTGGTTTGGGCTCGTGTGTGAGTGTAAACATTCGATGTGGGTGTGAAACCGGAATGCGGGATGAGATGTAAATGTTTTCGTAGTGTGGGTGAATTCGTACATTTTTGGCATGTGTCGACAGGTACCCGTATAAGTAGGGTGTCTACAGGTCGGTTGACTTCGAAAAGTTGACACGACACAGTGGAGTGTCCATTCTCATCAATACCTACCTATGGTAACTTTTGCTCCCTCGTTCATACTCAGATCTGATTAATAATCAATTATGACTAGTGATGCTTTTCCATCATTGCAGTGATAAAAACGCTAGAGCAAAAATCGATAAAAAGCGGCTATTGGAGGAATACTTTGTAAAAAAACAAAATCAAGTTGATTTGAAAAAAAATGTGCGAAAAAACGCAATCTTCTAAACTTCTTCATTAACTACCATCAAGATTCATTGTATAGTTCCTCATGAAGAGACAATCTTGACGACAATGAATGTTATAACAACATGTGGTTGTGTATTTAAAGTGTGACTACTAGATTTAGTGCTGCATTGGATTGCGAGTTTTCTATTCGATTGAAGGTATCAGTGTTTATATGCGTGCTACAGTCAGTCTAGACAAATGTGGTTCAGTATGTTGCTTTGGCTGTGAGATTAGATCGGTTCTTCATACGCAAGCCAAACCCATACGATGCACAACTGCAAGTCTACACCATACACTCAGGTCCACACCCACATACAAAACGGACACCAACTAAACTGTACCGGTACATGAGCACCCGACTTGTTTGAATTCTGTATATTCCATAAAACGAAAAGAAATTCAGCATTCCAGAAAATACCCTTTTTAACGCAATCGTATATAGACCAAAATCGATACTAATCTAACGATTATCGTTTAAAAGACCATTACCAACTGTATCCTAGTCCAAACTTTGCCTGTAACACGATACAAAAATTTATCTCTATTAGGATCTTTAGAAATTAGCACGTTTCAACTCGGCTGGTACTACTATAGCTAGAAAATTGTTTTAATCATTGTTTCGTGAAGTCCCATCACTCTTGAATAAAGCTTAATGGCTCGCAGCTTACAATGAACTTCCTTCATACAGTAACGTTCGAAGACAAGAAAAATGCACATGAGTAATGTGACGAGCGTATAAAAGAATCATCAAACTCTGACCCCTAACATATTAGGATGGATGAATACTGATCAAATTGCGGCTGTGCCACATAGTACTGTTACTGAGAAATGATTTCTCTATGTTTTTTTCCTTGAGCATTACCCACACAGACAGATAAACGGAAAAAACACTGTTTTGATGCATCGAAGGTACGAATGGAAGAAAACAACGGTGTAAAACTCGTTGACTCGAAAAATCTTATAAGTAAACGGGTGGAATGTTTTCTTTTTTACATTTAATACGTTAAAACGGATTTAACGAAGATCTTAGGTCAGTGAACGCGTTTTAACGTATGTATTCTATAAATTAGAGAAATGAATTCATTTCAACATAAATACGCCATTCGTTTAAATGCATTAAAATACAAAAAAAAATGATTTGAAAAATCAGCGCGCATAGAAATAAATTTCTATCGGGTAAAAAATGAATAGGAAGTAAAGCAAATGACTCTGAAATTTTTACAGATAAGCGCCACCAGTTCGATGAAGATACCCAAAAAAAATCAGAGTTACGAAACGGATGAAATTTAACATACTTTCTGGTAGAATATCAAGCATTTTGAAGAAAGATTTAAAATGAATAAACTCGATTAGTGATCGATGTCAGGATACATAGACTACATGTTTCCATCGGTAAACATGGTCATTTATCAACTAAGTATCTGCTAGGAGTGTTGATGTCATTGTCAGGTTGCTATTGCGTGATACTTACACCCACAACTAAGTATAGCTGTATGCATTGGAGATCAATGTGAATAAGGGTAATTATAGAAATTTTATTTTGTAAACAGTTTGTTGCAATGAACTTGTCGAGTATCGATATTACGTTTTTATTTGAACTCGAATTCTGAATTCTTTGATAAAAATTTAGAAAAAATGATTTTTATGATTAAAAATCGATGAAGTGTACACTGTTTCGATCGGATTTCGAATTAAAAAATAACTAAACACGTTATTTTCTAGTTTTAAATTAAAAAATCGACTTTTTCATCGCTTTTCATGACTTCTCGCTAAACGCGTAGTAAGTATACTGTTTAATCAGTCTTCGACAAATATACAATGGTTTAATACTCGATACCATGTGATATTTATTCATTTACTAAAAGAGAAATAAAAAAACATGAAAATTAATTTTAAAATTTTAATCAATTTTCTGAGATTAAAAATAAAATAATATGATTGATAATCTCATTAAAATCTCTAAAAAAAAAGTCTAACAAATTAATAAGGATCGATTTTTAGAAATTGATTTAGATTTAAACATTATTCTGATGAAAATTGGATCAAATTAGTACTATTGTAATTGATTTTCAATCATCAAAAAATATAAAAATCCACTGTATACCATTTTTTATTTAAATGGGTCAACTTCTACTATTAATATCTGTACAAGTGTATGCACTGAAGGTTGGTTAATTATAAGTAGAAAATTTAAATCTAGTAGCAATAAATAAGTTTAGTCTAGTGGTATATCGACTGCTTTGTAAGTATAAATCTTTTTGATCGAATCTGTATTAAAGCATTAACAAACAGGTTGAAACGCGTCTCTGAAATCTAAGTATACATTTAAACGACATCGATTTACTAGTGTTGAAATTTTTTCGCTAAACGCATTTAAACTTATCAAAGTGTCCTCTTTTGCGTCTTGATGCATTTGCTTCATAAACGCGTTTAAACAATCGTGTTTTCACTTAGTATAACGAATTTAAAATCAACATTCATTCAACCGTTAAAACGCAAAAATTCGGACATTCGTTGAAAGTTAAAATGCGTTAAAAGAAAACATTATAACGTTCGTTATAACGCGTTATTTAATTATTTTCGACTGCTAGGGTACGGCGAAATCAAATTTATTTAGGATTGAATATAATTAAAAAAATAGTTTCCTTCTTGCAAAATGTCTATGTTGATGGCGAATATTTTTCGATCGATGGCGACGAATATGATTAGTGATCAGTGGAAAAGCTGGCGCCATCGATGTTCGTCTCACATTTGGCAATGTCATCCTATCGGCTAAGTCATAATTCTTCAGTATGCCAAAGTGGTTGCTCCATCGATATTGTGACTTAGTGATCCAAGACTGATAATTCTGAATAGCATGTGCTTTCTCTTGTTCCAAATTATAGGGCCCTAAGTATATAGTGAGAATGAATCTATTTATGGCATCGAAGCAAAGATTTACCACATTGTCTTCTTCGTTGCAAAAACCTTCGCAACGCTGAGCTATTCAAAATTCGCAAGTCCACAAGATACACAGGTTCATTGCAGCTGCTATACAGAAACGGTACTTGGGCACTGTCAGTGGCCTTTTGAACTTCCAAAGCGGTTTTTTTAAGCATTTTCTCAACCTCGATCGGTAATACGATATTACGAAGTAGAAAACAGGTATATAAGCTATTGTCTTCTACTGTCCCAGCTAGTGTTGAGGTATCGACTGCGCATGGATAAGCAATTATTGTCGCTGGTGGTGCCTGCATTGCTGTGAGACCATCCTTCATCCTCGCCGACTTGACGCTAAAGAAATGCTTCATTCTTGCCGGTGGTTGTAGGAGAACATTTCGACAACAATCAAGAATAAATATGACCAATCTTGGACGTCGCTGATGCATATCCATGATCAGTTTCTGGGCATCAATACCAAGAATATGTTCATCTTCAGACTGTTGAACATCTTCTATTGGTTTTAAATAGTTTTTACCTTCAAATTGACTGCCATGACCAGAAAAGTAGAATAAAGCAAGATCGCCTGGTCGAATGGACTTGATGAATCGGTTCGTAACAATATCCATACCCATATATGGAAGATCTGTTTTCATTTTTACGTGAAATCCAATCAAATTTAAAGCTTCGCTCATGTCTTTAGCATCGTTAATGCACGATTCCAGTCGTTTTTTTCCTTCATAAGAGTCATTACCAATTATCAAAGCACGTTTCACAGCTGTTGTCATCATATCTTTCAAATACAGACATATCATAGACTACTTTAAACATGAATATTTGCTAAATATCCTAACATAGCTAGAAACTTATCACAGTTTTTGTCTCGTTTCACATGCAGTCATATTGATCACAATAATCGAAAGACCTTTTTTTTTAACGACTTTTCACTCTAATGCTGCATAGTTTGATATATGTGCATAGAAGATATGTATGTCTTGACATCTTACACAAGCTACCGAAAAGAATCTGCATATATGATAAGACACTTCTATTTTGCCCATCTCTTTTTTATTAATAAGAAAAACGTGTGACCTGTCGATGTGTTTTCCACATCATTATTAAATACAATGAATAATTAAATTGTAGATCGACTATGTTATTTTTTGTTTATAGTTATACTTGTAAACACTGCAATGCAACAACTATAACAAAAGACAACAAATTTATTTTCTTTCTCTTGCATTACACTGTTTAGAAACATTACTACAGACAAAAAATGACATAGTCTATCTATGTACATAATTTACTTCTTATTCATTGCATTTGATAATGAAGTGTGAAAAACATCGAAAGCTTATACGTTTTTTGTTTTAAATTAAGAAAAGAGAAATAAATTGTTAAACCAATTGGTATTTCTTGTCTTTTCATTATTTAATTATATTTTGCTTAACAATGTTTGCTCATCTTCTAAAGGAAATTGTAAGTAAGAATAAAGTACATGAAACTTATATTAAACTTTTTTTATTAGAAAGAAATCGGCTTTAATTTAAATATTGTGTGAATTTATATACGGCGGTTGATCATTGAAAACATCATACTTACCTAATGATAGGCGGTTACTAATCGAGGTGGATTCTTCAAGTAACTTTTTAACTCAATCGGTGTTTAATACTCAACTCGAAAATATATGAATCGATACTGGATGTGAACACCACCAAATTAAATGAAATCTGACGAATTTTCGTCGTCACTCTTGATGAGCACACTGTCAAGATCCAACTTACACACGATACACTTGCAACTCAAGCAAAAACTGATCACTCAAACAAACCATGTTGTTTAATCGAAAAACACAAGTGTCAATTAGACAAGGTTACTAATCGATATTTACATGCATACCTGTTACTCATAAATCAGGCATTGATCTCAAGGAGAAAAAAATAGTAACAAGAATGATATCGATTATCCTTGCTACTCATATATTCCTTCGTTCTTTAATGTCTCTCTCATTTATTCACATATTATCTGTCGTCACGGTTCTGTCTCTCTCATTTTGAATGATGTCAAAAAGAAAACGAATCGATGAAGAGCAAGGATTATTGTTTTTGTCTTGAAATCAATGCCAGGTATATGAGTAATAGGCATACATGTGAATATTGATTAGTAACCTTGTCTAATGCACAGTTGCATTTTCGAGTGTACAAAATGACTTGTTTGAGTAACTAATTTCCATATCAATTGAATGTGATTCGTGTGCACGTCAGGTCTCGATAGTGTGCTCATCAATATTAACCACGAAATTCTGCTACACTTCATTTTCTTTGGTAGTCTTCACGTCCAGTGTCGACTGAAATTTTATCGCATTCAGTATTAAACGTCAATTAAGTTTACAAACCATTTGAAGAATCGACTTTGATAAGAGTTCATCTATCAGTAGGTAAGTATGATTATTTCAAAGATCAGCAATCGTATATAAATTCACGCAATATTCAAATTGAAACCGATTTCTTTCTAAAAAAAATGAGTTCAATATAAGTTTAGTTTACTTCATTCTAACTTAAAATTTTCTTTTAAGAGATGAGCAAAATAGCCGTGTCTTACCATACTTGTAGTTTCTTTTTCGAAGCTTGTGCAAGATATCAAGATATGCATCTGTTCTGTGCACATATATCAAAGTGCGGAATCATATGTGGGATATCCTTGAAAACAAAATAAGCCTATCGGTTATTTTCATCAGGATAATTCAATGCAAAATGCAACAAAAAATATGATAAGTTTCTAGTTATATCAGATTGTTTAACAAAGATTCATGGTTGAGGTTGTCAATCATAGGTCTGCATTTGATAGATATTATGACAACAGCTATGAAGCGGGCTTTGGTAATTGGCAACAATCATTATTTCAACAGGTCGTTGAAGTCGTGCATTAACGATGCTGAAGACATGAGCGAAGCTTTAAATTTGATTGGATTTCAAGTAAAATTGAAAACAGACCTTCCACACATGAATATGGGTATTATCACGAAGAGATTTATACAGTCCATTCGGCCAGGCGACATTGTTTTGTTTTACTTCTCTGGTCGTGGCAAGGAATACGACAGTAAAAATTATTTAATGGCAACAGATGACGGTGGTGAGACCGAAAGCAATGTACAAAACCGTGGTTTTGATGCTCAGGAACTGATTATGCTGATGCATGAGCAACGTCCAAGGTTGATCATAGTTATTCTGGATGGTGCTCAGTCTCGTCAATATCCACAGTCGATGCCCATCACTAGTTCGCTAACACTCGCTTCACCAGAGTACGAAGGAGTAGTAGTACCGAGATATTCACCATCGCCGACAATAATTGCTTATGCATGCGCAGACGGTGCGTCATCATTTGTTACCAGGGATGGAAGGTTTAATAGTGTGTATACTTGCTTTCTACTTCGTAATATCGTATTACCGATTGAGGTTGAAAAAGTGTTCAAGAAAACGGCTATGGATGTTCAAAAAGCTACGAGCGGTTTCCAAGTACCGTTTCTGTATACCAGCTCCAACATACCTGTGCGTCTTGTGGACTGGCGAATTTTAAACATTCCAGCGTTGCAGATTTTTCTTCTAAGAAGACGCTGTTGTGGTAAGTCTTTGTATCGATGTTATAAATGGATTTATTCTTAGTAGGTGCTTAGGACCCTATAATTTGCAACAAGACAAAACACATGCTATTCAGAATTATCAGTCTTGGACTAATCACTTTGGCATACCGAAGAACTATGGGTCGTCCTATATGATGAAATTACTCCACGCGAGACAAACATCGATGGTGCCCGCTTTTTCACTTACCACCAATCACATTCGTCCCCGTCGATCCAAAGATAGTCAACAGCAACGCAGACATTTTTCAAGGATGAAATCGTTTTTTTAATGATATTTAATACTAAATAAATTTGATTTCACCTTAATCATTGAAAAGAAAAAAGAAACAGACAGAAACTGTTTCTAAATTACAAGGTGTTTTGAAAAATCTGAATGAAAAAACAAACATGATTGCAAGATGTTAGACATTGAATTTTGCTCGTAAATGATGTGACTTCACTAGTCAATAATTAAAATAATTTTCTAGTGGTAGTAGTACTGGCTGGATTTTAATCTCATAAATTGCTAAAGATTTCAATAAACATGATTGTTTATATTGTATTGCAAGCAAAGCTTGAAATAGGAGAGAGAGTCGGTAATAATTCGCTAAACGTTAATTAGATATGAATGTGAAGAAAGAAAATTCTCATATATCAGCATCCATACCAACATTCACACTACAACACTGAAGGTCTGCAGTCATCGTGAAATAGTCAATAGTGTTCAAAGATACTCGAACACGAGCTCGAACTTAACCAAACCTGAGGATGCTTGTATGATTTCACCATGTGTCTCAAGAAATGCTCTGGTAATTACCCGAATGCGAACTGTTCATCCCAAACAATCAGCCGAAGTTCTAGATCGGTTGATGTCTACTATATGAAAAATATTTATAGTTTTGTATGATACAGCCAGTCCATCTTACTTCTTTCTATTGTCAGATGTAGTCCTGTTTTATTGGCAAACATGTGTTTGAAAACAAGTAAGCAGGTCTTTTCTTCTTAAAGTAAATAAACAAGAAAATATGTAGCCTCTAACAGTACACCGAGAAATATTTTATTATCCTTGGTTGTTGTTTCCCACGAATGAGAAAACAGACTTACAATCTGTACATGTACAATGTGAGTTAAACTCAAATTTTTAGAAGAAAATCGGTTTCTTTTACCGAAAAGGAAAATCGTTCAGAGAAAGTTTTCTTTCATCAAGTCGATTTTTGCACAGAAATCTTTCGTCTGAGTACTCTTTGCTTTTCTTCAAGTTGTAAACAGATGAAAAAAATAAAATATAAGATCAGTCTACATGAAAAGGATCAAATGTCTATCATACAGTAAATCGAATGAATGTTCATAGAAACAAACGAGAAACATATATTATTCGACAGAACATTTCAGACTCTACAAAATGTATTATTTATTATCTTTGTTGTTTTACTCCTTCGCTTCTTAGAAAATTTCGTTTTCTAATTACATATCTCTGTAAACTACGACTTTTTCACAGTACAAGATTTGTAACTTGGTAATAGTATAAGGTAACGAGCTGGAATTTGATGTAATAGTGAGACTAGCCAAGAGAAATAACATAATAAAACTTATTTAAATTGATCGAGAGAAACAGAAGTTATTAGCCATCTAACCATTCGAAAAGTCATTCGACTGTATGTTATTTTCTCCTGCTATCAATATATCTTGATTTTTCTATTCAGCATAGTTAAAATCATCATTCAAGGTTAATCTCAATTTTATTGATATTTGCAATGCTCTATCTTTGATTATAATATTGATTTATTTTTTATGTCAATTTTTCTTTGTTTCAAAATGCAACGCTAAAATCATATGTTTATTTTATATATAATACATTATTCAAGTTAGATCACTTTGTTTAGTCTAAGCTGGTTTTAATTTTGTACAAATGTCTGTGGCTATTTGTTCAGCATGGAATATTTCTTTTTCGATGTTCATAGATGTATTTTTTATTAATTCATTGATCCAAATCTGTATTCATGAGATTTCACAAGATATAATCATGTCGATAACGATCAACATCTGAAAAAATTTTTTTAAATTAATTAATATCTTTAAGGACATTTCATTGTTTTTAATTTTGACTTTATTTTTTTAGATATTTTGTTCATTGTACATTTTGTGTTGACATCTTGTGACTTTTTAAAGCTTTATTTAAACAAATTTAGTAATGAACTAATAAGAGAATTATTTTCATATTGACAAGATTGAGCGATGTACGTAAGAATAAGTTTTTATTTTATTATAATTTGAATAACTCTTATTTACTAATGAAATATCATTGGAAACGAACTTGTACATGTAAGATGATTATTTCATTCGAAAAGACAAACAAGTGATGGAAAATCATTGTTGAATTGAAAATTTTTCAAAAAAATTTCACATAACATTGTCAATAATTGGATATTTTTCTTTTAATAACATCATATCAGTTATTCAAATCGAAGAAGATTAATGTTAAACTACTTCATTACTCAAATAGTGACTCGTCAAAATGAAAAAAAAAAAAAAAAGAAGAAGAAATAATTGCTGCATTAATTCAATTCTTATGCAATAGTTAAACAAATAAGTATTGCATTTAAACTTTATCTCAAGAAATTCTTGTTAAAATTAACATAACAAATATATCAGAAAAAAAATACTTTATCTTATAATACAAATTATGGAAGAATGAAATAGCTTGCTGCTTTTATTATAGGTCGTATTTTATAACATTTTTCTATATTAAAATTCATTTTTCAATAGAAAAACTAAATTCATATGAAAATAACAATACTAATCTCTTGGATTAAATATTTTGAAATAGGAACATTTTTTTATTTAGTCCAATCGATCTATACATAAATATTCGATTGAATCTTAATATTTGTAATTTTATGTAAATAATATAAAAGAAATAAAAATAGGTCATTTATTTTACCTCTATACTAAATCAGAAGTTTAACATCGATGTCGACCTCATTTTCTTTTTGTGAATGATACATCGATTTAAATGTCCATTTGAAAACATTTTACATAAATCTAACAAAAAGATTCATTGATAATTGTATTCAAGTGCATAATTCAATAGACTTGATGTATTTATTGATTATGCAATTTCTTTTTTTTTTTGTTTCTAGGTCATAAATATTGAATGAACTAAGCCAAGCAATCTTTTACTCATAACATTCAGCATGATCTTTTTCACTAATCACTCTATTTTCAATATGATCATTTTGATAAAATCCATCAACAATTTATTGAAAATTAAAATTTTTAATATATATTTTTTCAAATTCATGTCATAAATAAATACATGTATATACGTATGTTTGTAGAATGTCTTCACCCTTAATCATCTAAATAAAATTATTAACAAAGAACAGATTCTTCGTATTCAAGGTTTCGTATATTGGATAGAAATAAACTATTGTCATAAACTCTCCAGATGTTCATCGTGTCAACTTTAAAAAGTTTCTTTTCTTCTCTTTGTTATCTTCTTTCTTTGTTAAGGCAACAAATCTTTATCTATATTGTCAATACACATAAATACTTATCATAATAGTATATAAAAACCTAGATATGGTCAGAAATAACAAGCAGGTGTTAGACTATTAATCGTACCCGTCATTACTATTAGTTTGTCCAGACATATTGCCCTTTGATAAAATGCTACTAAACGAATATAATAAAAAGGAAATGAAGTTTATTGATTGTACTGACCTTGATTACGCTACCATTGCCACCAGACACGAACAATACAATACTCATCAAACAGGTGTGTTACATCATTGAATAGTTCTTTTTTTTTTTCAATCTCGTACTCGTTTTTCTTTTCATGTGTATTCTTCGTGCTTCTTTCTTTATCCCATTCTTCCTTCTTTTTTTTACCGTCATGCAAATATTGCACACACGCATACACACATGCGTTCTCCTCCGTGTTTCGTTGCTGTCATCATTTGTAATGTAGGTGTTTTTGTCAAATCATTTGTGTATTGTAACTGTGCATAGAAGAATACGATTTCGACTATTGGCTATACGCATTTTCGTCTTTCATCAATAGTAAATAAAACAATTCATCACAACCTCCGCAAAATATTTGTTCTTGTTTTTTATGTTAAGATAAAACCATAGGTAAGAAAACCATAGTTAACATGACTAGAGATGTGACTCATAGAAAGCAAAAAAAAGGAAAGAAAATTTTTTTTTTCACTGATTAATCGCATGCACACATCATTTAAACAGTCTTGTTTTTCCTTCGTCAAGTTTACCGTATCAGGTAATATTATATTGCATCTACTGTTTTTTTTTTTAATTTTATTTTCTTAGTCGTAAAGATAGCAGTAATAGAGGACATTTCACCTTAATATATACATGTTCGTCTATTGAAGATGAAAGAATTTTGAAATAAATGACAAGAGAATTGTTTTCAAAGAACAGTCATTGATTTTAATTCTCTTCTTTTGTTGATCAAAGAAAACATCAGTCGTGTTGCCCACATACGGTATCTACTTCATATCTTGCTCAATTGTGAATAGGCTTGATTCATTTGTAATCAATTTTTTTTTCTAAATTGAATGTTTCTCGATATGAAATATACTCTATCCTATTATAAGTGTACAATTTTGATGAATGGCTTCTATATAGGTATATGTATATTGCGACTTCGTCTATGTAGGTGCGATTTGTCCATTCGAGAATAAAAACAAAGAAAGCCTTGACATGCAAGGTAAAAATATGTACAAAAGTTTGTTGAATATGTACGAGAAGGCGATCGTTTGACATTTATTTAAAAGCGAGATGAGTTTATGGACACAGAGATGGACGTATACAAATACACTTTGATCGTATGTCTATCGACGAGTCATGTAATGAAGACATATATGAACTGTATTTAGCTTATTTCCTCCTTGAGATTTCAACTGAATAAGTATTAAACTACTTGAATAAAACAAGATTTTGATAAGAGTAACAAATGTTAAAATTGATAAGAAAAGTTTATTGTCATTCGCAATTCTCTTTTTATTCTGTCTCCTGACACCGAATAATAAGAGTTTCTAAAAAAGAAATCTTTCATGGCATCTTATAAACAAACATCTTTCTTTTTTTTTTTTTTTATAGTCTATGTGTAGACAGACATTTCGTCTTGAACATATGCATCCAATTTGCTTTAGCATTTCTATTTTTGTTTGTTTGACCTGTGTCTCTCTCTCTCTCTTTAATATGCATCATAATGTCTACCATAAGAAGAAAAAAAAACGAAGTTTATATTTTATATCACTATGAGATTTATCTTTGACATGTGAGAAAAAGATCATAGTCAGTGTTTGTATGTTAGTTGTAATATTGATTAAACGTTGAAGTATTGTTTACACTTAATCTGAATTGGTAACAATGATTTGTTTTATGACAATGATGTTGGAAATAAAATGAACAATTTTGTTATCGTACATATTGAGACATCATTTGATATGAAGCATACGTCATCATCATTATCGTTTTTTTTTTCAACTATATATATATATATGCATATACATATATATATACATATGAGATTGGAGGTGGTGTCAGCTTTTGTTCCTCAATTTCGATCAATAAATTGTTCATTATCTTACATCATCTATCTTTCATTTGATTACTCTGTAATTGTATAGTATAATAGATGTGATGTACAATAAAACCTTTATTCACCAACACTTCTATACATATCTTTTTTTCCTCTTTTGTCCAAACTAATTTTTAGTACAGGTTTAAATTACTCCTACACACGCAAATGGATATAATTATTCACACGCCTCTCGTTCATCAAATGAATTAAGATGAAAAGAGAATAGATATCCTAATCTGTCTTAATTGTAAGATGAGGTCGTCGAACACGACAATGTTGATCGTTTGAATACAGAGACTAAAATAAAATTTAAATCAACGAGAAGAAAGAAAAAGGACAAGAGCGGGCAAGTGAGAACGAATGACTATGACCGAAAGGGTGCTATATATTCTATCAAAAAAAAAAAAAAAAAAGTCACTCGCCCATACATACATTCACCAGCAAAGAAATGAAAGAGAAGAGAAATTTTGAAGGAGAATAAAAAAAAAAAAAAGAAAAGAAAAGGAGAGCGATAAAGAGAAGTACAATTGTTCGTTCCGACTAATCATCATGATCATATGGAATTCATAGTAAGAGAAAGAGTATGCGTTGTAAGTAAATAATTGACTGATTGATTAATAAGTTATTATTTGATAATTGTATTTTTAGTAAAATATAATCAAACGATGGCTACGGCTGTCGATCAATTAGTGATTGATACTCAATCACGTTTTCTTGAAATGAAATCTCTTCAACCATATTCAACAACCGATGAATATTTATATGCTATGAAAGAAGATCTTGCCGATTGGCTTTCAAATATGTATCCAGAATGGCGTCCAATTACAGCCGATAATTTTCTTGAATGTTTAGGTAAATAATTTTATTTAATTATTATTTTAATAATATATAATTTATTTATTCTTATATAGAAAACGGTGTTCTTCTTTGTCAACATGCTAATAATGTAAATGCTGCTGCACGAAAAATATTACCATCATCATCAACATTAACAAATTGTAAATATCGTTCGGGTGTTCGTCCACAAACATTTAATGCACGTGATAATGTATCACAATTTATTAAATGGTCACGACATATAGCTTGTGTTCGTGAAGTTCTTATGTTTGAATCCGATGATTTAATATTACGAAAAAATGAAAAAAATTTTCTTCTTTGTCTACTTGAAATTGCTCGTTTTGGTGCTAAATTTGGTGTTAGTGTACCGGCTATAATTAAACTTGAAGATGAAATTGAACGCGAAATTGAACGTGATAAACAAAAAGAAACCTTATCATATAAAGAATTCAAATGTTTACAAAGAGAAAATGAAGAAAATGAAACAAATACATTCGATTTAATAAATTATCAAACTATTGATGATGATAATAATAATGAAAATAATAAAAATAATAATAATAATCAAATAAATGAAAATAATATAAATACTAATAATCAAACAAATGAAAATTCAAATAATATATTTTCATTAATAACAAATGTAAATGATACAAATTGTTTAGAACAAAATTTATCACATATACCAAAGTTTTCAAATAATAATAATAATAATCATAATAGTAAACGAAGACAAAATAGTGAAGAAAGTTATGATAGTACAACATCAAGTGAAATAACTACAACAATTATAACATCAAATGAAGAATCACAATTTAGTCGAACGGTAGTTGAACGAGAACAACCAATTCTACCACCAGTTTCATCATCGCATTTACATAAAACAGTAAGTAAAAAAAATGATTTCATGGTAAATTAACAATGACGAGAGATTTTTTTTTTCAGGTAGTAAAAATTGCAAATACATGTTGTTGTTCACAACGTTTTCCTGTCATACGTATTGGCGAAGGTAAATATCGTATTGGTGAAAGTGGAACAATTATATTTATTCGTGTATGTATGAAAAAAAAAATTTTCTTTAGAATTACATCATTGAATTTTTATTTAAAGATCTTGAGAAATCATGTTATGGTTCGTGTTGGTGGTGGTTGGGATACACTTGAAAATTATCTTAACAAGCATGATCCATGTCGACGATCAGGTAATAAATCAATAAAAGTTCACCTTCACTTTTTTCTTTTTTTTTTTTTTTTTTTTTTACTTTTATTAACTACATTATTACTTTTACAGGTCATCGTCAATCTGAACATCATCATCATCATCATTCTGACATACCAATTCTTGCTATACCAAATACAAATATATCACCTAGTGTTCAAAAAAATACTCCTTTTGGAAAATCTGTAACAATAAAAACTGAAGAATTTCCATTACCAAAACCAGCTTATCATGATACAAATCTAGTCGATGCTCAACTTGTTATAACACGTGGTGCCGATGGACGTCATCATATTGGACAAATAACTTATAAAGCTGAAGAAGATTCTCTTAATCAACCATCTGTATGTCCTCATCATCATAATCTATCACCATCAACAACAAAAATAAAAAATACACGCGTTACAGGACGTCTTACTCCTTCATCTATTTATAATAAACAATCATCTCCAAGTACAGATCAAGATTATTCATCATTAACAGAAGCAACACCTAGTAAACCATCATCAATATCATCATTAGATTTTAAAGATGAACCTATTGAACAAACAATTAAATCATTACATATAACTACAATTGAAAATCAACCTATTCGATCATCATCACCAATTAATCAATTTCAAATAGAATCACATAATGATATTAATAATCATCCTTCTATTAATAATAGAAATATTGTTATTAAATCAATTAAACCATCGAATCAAAATTTTGATAATTTTAATAAAAAGAAATTAAGCATTACTGAATCTATTATTGATACAATTGATGGTTATATTCCTCCAACATCAATTGAAACTGTAAATGATTTTAATATTACTGATATTGAAGAAGTTATGGAAATTAATAAAAAAAAACAAAGTACAAATGATGATACAAACAATATGGATAATGATAGTTTAGAGAGTAGTGAAGGTATATTAGAAAATAAAACGAAACCACAACCATCATCTCTTTCACATCCAACTAAAAAATCAAGTGGATATTGTTCAACATATTATTTAGCACAAAAACAAAAATTTCAACAACAACAAGCTGCCAATCGTAGACGATCTTCTGGTAATCTAAATCAATATTCATCACGTTCAAATACATTACCAAATGTTGTTGAAGCAGTTAAAAAAGAAGAACAATTAAGTAAACAACGTCGTAAACCAATGCTTATTACAAAACGATCACAATCATCTGACTTAATTGACAAAATAAATGATATATCAAAACTTGATCGAGATTCCGGATTTGATGAACAAGATTTTCGTCGTGAACGTTTACAATCAAATGGTGATGATAATTCAAGTATATCATCAATAAGAAGTCCAAGAAGTTCAACAGCAAGTTCAATTAATTTACAATATAAAGAAAATAAATCATATGAATTACGTATGAAAAAATTAGATATGAAACGTAATATAAATGAAAAAGAATCATCTATAAAAATTGGACGAAATATTAATTTATCAACAAAACGAACAAATGATTTGACACTTCCAATACCACCAACATATAAATATCGAAAAAATAGTCAAGTTATTAATAATCTCAAAAAACAACAAGAACAACCATCACAAGATACGAGCATAATTCTTTAAATATTTTCTTTTCTTGTTATTTACAGTGATCAAATAGAATGTTCTTTTTCTTTTTTTGTTTGTTTTAATAATCAATACTATGACAAATATCATTCCATATTATATATATATATTAATGTAAAGTTCATTTTCTTCTTTTTTTTTCATTTTTGTTTGTTTTTCTTTCAGCAACGACAATTATTATTTAATTATGTTTTATGACAATATAAAAAAAAAAAAACGAATACATTTTGATTTTTATTTAAATTACATTCTAAATGTATATTTAATGTAGTTTTTCTTTTTCTCTCTTAGACAGCAAAACAAAAAAAGGTTCTGAAATTTTACTGATATTACAAAAGAAACGTTCGACCTATATAACTGTAAATAATAATATTTATTTGAGTCTTTTATACATAAATAGAAATAAATAACGAAGTAAATTTTTACATCAATTCCAATAATTTGATTAGTTAGAATACAATGAAAAGAATGAATCATACATTATGCAAAATCATTTCGTGTTCTTTTACGTTGAATAATCACACAGTGATTCAAAGATGAATGCAAATATTGAAGGACAAAATGCATATGTGTCATTAAACTTAAGGTTTAAAATAATATTAAAGCTCTTTTCACTCTAAATAATAGAGTTTGTCGGGTCGAAAATTTCTCGACTCAGACAAGTCCAAGACCAACCTTTGTGGACTCTACTCTGCAAGATATTTTATTTGAGACAAAAAGAAAAAAACAACAACGCATTGAAATGTATTACATTTACATTATTTCACATAATAGTTTAGTTGATTATGAATGCAATGATTGATGAAAAAACATACATATATATCAATGAAGCAGGTTCGCGATGGACGTCATACTAAACGTGTAATTCAGCATGATATTGTTTTTGCCGACTGATTGCTTGTCAAATATTGTGAGAAGAGAACCCTTTCGGTAGTCACTATATTGACGTATGCCTGGAAAAATCACAAACAAAGTCATAAACTATGCCTTTTAGACATTAATCCATTCATTAGACATAAGTATCCTCGAGCAATTATTAAACTTTTTGTTCTACTGTAACAGCTGCATACATGCATGAAACGCATAATTGACCCGAAGTACTACTTTATGATGTCTTAGAAAAAAAAAACATGAACTCGTTCGTAACTTTACAATTCAATAACATATCATTCATTCAGAGAAAATTTTAAACGAAAATTTGGTTCAATCTTCTATTGGAATTATATAGAACAGATGTTGCATCATAATCTTACTTATGGAATGAAAAAATTTTCGAGATATTGACACATTATTTTTTTATTTATTGATTATGTCACTATAGAATGAAATATTTTAATTAACCAATAGCCTAAAATTGCATTCTGAAAGTTAATTGACGGATATTCTATAACAACTGTGATTATAATGACTGGTAAAGAGATTTTGACGGTTTGAAAAAAACTCGAGCCGAAGCTTTAAAATAGATTTAACATTTTCGTATCTATCTGATGGCTTTCGATTTCATAGGATATTTTGAGAATCCAACCGAAATTGCTCTTTATCTCGTTTCTAGTAATCGGAACCGGAACTAGAACCGTACTTCCCGTTTTATTTCCGAGTAATTTTTGAAAACATAGAACTCTACCAATGAATAATTCTCGCATCAAAAATAATTTTATTTTTTTGTTTTGTTAAAGAAGTCAGATAATGAAGTATTTCAATTTGTATAGGAAATAAATTAATTTGTTTTGATTTTAGAACGCAATAGATCTGGAGACTTATTTTAACATTATTTTTTGTTGACTAACATGAAAATCATTTCAATTGATAAACCGGTTTTTTTTCTGTTCAGAGTTATGTGTACCGACAAACAGAATAGAGGGCATTTCGACCTGAACTTATGTCTATTTGCGACAAGAATGTTTCCTTCACGAGATATTCTAGTCATAAGTTGATCTATCGTATGAGCCAAAGTTCAGGTTGAAATGTTCGATTTGTTGGTACACATTGTGCTTTAGTCTAAAATTTGCGTAAAATGTCTATAACTGTGGAAGAAAAGTCAAGCGATGAATCATTTGGAATGGTTTATTTGTAACATTATTTTTTAGTGTCATTTGAATATGATAGAAGTTTATTGTTTAACTATGAGTGCCATATCGATTGTGAATTTAAGAAAAAAAAACTTTTATTTTTTATGACCTATGCTCATACATTGATCAATGTATCAGACAAGCTTATATTGATATTGTTTCGAAAGAATAATACGACAGTGTGCTTTTACTTATCTAGAAGCGACACGAAAACAAATAGGGACATATTGTCACTCAATGTTCATTATTTAGCCTGAGAAATTTTGTATGTTTGTTCAATACCATCTATTGTATTGAACCTTTAAGAGTTGAAATAGAAACTTGTTTCTTGTGTTATGAAGAATAATTCAGAGATTAATCATAATTTTTTTTTTTGCGTACTATATCTTGACATAACACTAGAATTATTATCAATAACTATAAATATGAAATTTATTATTGAATCTTTATAATATACAATTAAATAAAATAGAGTAAATATATGTTTAGAAGCATCTAAAATAGTTCAATATATTGTCCTTTGTATTACATTAGTTCTGTTTTAATATTGTCAAAATATAAATATGATTAAAAGAAATTTTCAAAAATCTTTTTTTTGGATTATATACTATTGTTTAAAATACATGAGTATTTTGTATATGCAGGAAATAACAAACTTTGTAATGATATAATTTTTGTAAGAGCTCAAAATGCTTTGAGTATGATTAGTTAGAATTATAACCGACCAGCTTCACTTTTTTTTTTTTTTTTTTGTTGAAAAACTAATCTTACAATTGTATTCTATAAAGAAAAAATTCATCATAGTACACTCAATATATTGCATCAACTCATGTCCATGTCAAGTAATCTTATTGAAATCTAATCAAAGAATTATTCAACATTGTAATTTATCATAGATTTATTTGTATTACCTACTTTGTATAGTATATAGTTCGCCTAGACAACAAAAGAGATAATAATGCAAATTTAACGTGAGAAGAAGCTTAAACATACAGTTAATTAATAATTCTCGTGTCTGACGAATATTTAATCCGTATACAAAGTTAATATTGAATTTGTAGTCTTATGAAGTTTTCTGTTTACCGACTGATGCTAAGCAAAAGAAAACTTATGTCATTATTATTAGTGAACAAGAGACAATGATGATTAATCTCAAGACGTTCATTTTAATGTTATAAAATTCAATAAGTAAAGAAAGATTCATGTCAATTCGAGATAGATACGAATCAATATTCTTATTGTATTGTTTAAAACAATCAAAAATTAAATGATATTGAAAATTTTGTTATTGCTATTCATTGTTGAATAACTCGAAATAAATTGAAAAATAAAATTCAATTATTTATATCAATTAATCGATGGAACTGATTTCTTTTTATTAAACATGATATTGTGGAAAAAATTTGGAATAAAAAGCAAATGAAATATACCGTAAGATCATCATCCTATTGCTCTTTTCGTTTAGAAATATTCGTATTCAACTATTGATTTGTATAACACCTCAACATAATAAAGTAGTAGCGATCCGAGCCAAGTTCACGCTATACGATAATACATACGAGAAATCAAGTAGTCTAGAGAATCATATTATAAGCATTATCAATTATTTCAGATAAAAAGTATATTATCATATAATTAATAATTAAATTAAAAATATCCATAATACTGAGTGTTTTTAAGAATGAAATTAGAGTCTTTGTTTTTTTTGAGTATTCCTTTTCATTATAATCAGTAATTTCGATATGGCGACTCTATCGTATCAATTGATTAAATTGTACAATGGTTATCGCGCATTTTCAAAACATAGATCTGTATAATTTTATTTTGTGATAAAAAAATTTACAGATTAAAAAATGATTCGTTTTTATTATATATTGTTTCTCGTACATTTTATTCAATAAATTCTTCTTATAAAAGAAAATACTATTTGTTTTATGAATTTTGAAGGTAGATCATTCTCTATATCAATAATAACGTTACTGTTAGTTCATTTTTTATTTTATTAGACAAATGTGCATGACAAAGTCAATGAAGAGAGTATATCAAAGCTTGAAAAGTTTCACTTTTAAACAATAAAAATGACTTTTCTTGAAAAAATTTGATATACAGGGTGGCCCATAATTAACGCAACCGAAGTAAAAATTGAATATCTCCTGTACAGCTCAAGCAAAGGAGCTGATTTCTTCACCAGTGATAGAGGCATGTATCAGCTTTATATCCATAAAGACATGTCTNTTATATTTAAGATTATTCATTAAAAAAAAATATATTCAAAATGCGAGATGGTTAATTTTCATACTCAATTAATTTCGTTAATAATTTGACTTCTTGTTCCAAATCTTTATCTTGAATATATTCCATTTCAGATTTGAAATAGATTAAGAATGCATCTAATTGTTCTTGATATTGCTTTGATACAATTAACCCAGTTGATTTTCGTTCCCAAGGACTCAACTGGTCAATATTCGTTTCTTTTAGATTCAAAAATGTTTTTTTTTCATTGTACTTGTGTTCTCGATCATGATTTATCCAATGTTTTAATAATGTAACATAGTTCATTAGAAGAATAGCTTTACGTATGCCAGAATTTGCATAATTAATCTCATTTTTGATATTAATATCAATCGATTGCTTTTCTTCATATCTCGTACCAAGACGATCCTCATACGTTACTGAAAATCGTCCTGCCGTATTCAAAGTATTTGTTATTGGTTGCTTTGTTTTTAATTTTAATAGAACAACACCACCACGTGTTTGTTCATTGCTGTCTGTTCGAGATGGAAATAATGTGTTAATTTTAATGCATTCACCTTGCTTTAATTGATCACATTCAGGTGAACCATAAACATGTTCAATATCAAATAGATCCGATTGAAATTTCATTTCAGCATTGAATACTAATGGTGTCATAATCAAATCAAAATTTTTGTCTAATAATTTAAGAAATTGTTTTGAATCATGAACAGAAAAATAATTCGCTCCACGGTGTTTTGTTATCAAAGAAATTAATTGAGTATTGAGATCAACACCGACACCAACGAATGTTGTATAAATACGTTGTTTTGCTAGACTTTCAATACGTGAATGAAAGCTCATTCCATCCAAGCTACCTTGATTCGGCTGTGCATCAGTCAGAAATAAGATTCGATTATCATAGTCATCGTTAGCCTCTGGTAGAACATTCTCAAATACCAATGCACTACAGTCAATACCAGCACTCATATTTGTACCACCATCGGCATGAATTATTGACAAATAATGCTTCAGTTGTTCGATATTGAGTGCGCTTAATTTCTTCATCGGTTGAATGACACGTGCTTCAGAGTTAAATGTAATTATGGATATACGATCATTTGGTTTTAAATGATCAACTACTTTTGATATGACTTCAATAGTTATATCCATTTTTGAACGAGAGTCATATTCAGTTATTTCGTCGGTGGTACTAAAAATAGATAATTTATATTAATAGGAATTTTAAACCGACGAAATTTCTTCTCTCCTACAATGCTATTCAATGGTTGTACTTAGGGCATACCAACAGTAGTGGCAGTGACACTTTAATAACGTATGGCTGGCTTTGAGAAACATTCTTTCTATATAGTCTGATAGACAAAAAAGAACTCGATTTTTCTATGTTATTTGATCATACTTCAACTAATATCATACTGATATAAACAAGACAGAGAACTGTTTTTACCATTGGAATGCAGAGATGAAGGCGCATCGAATTGCATATTATATATTTTCTTAGACGTTATCTGAAACTTGTTCAATCAATTTTTCTAGGTACGGAATACAATAGTATTTATTCACTAACATTGTTAGAAAAATCACTTAGAGCTTCGATTAAAACGTCTATAGTTCATGAATGATTAATTCACAGCATCTGAAGCTTCTGCAGTTTCGTAGATCTTCCATCAGTGGTTTCAACACACACACCTGAAAATGGAAAATTTGCTGTAAAGACCTAATAAGCTTGTTTACTTTCAATATTCAATACATCACGGAATAGGTATTCGTATAATGGTTGCATATGATAGACAAACAGAGTACCTTTTTCTCTACCAGACTGTATCGAGAGAAAGTTTTTGAGTGAAAAACGTCTTACTTATATTTTTTCAAAATTTGATTACTATTCCTTATATGCTGTTTCCAGTTTTCTAACAAACTATATAAGGATGTGGGTTCTTGGGTTTTCTGAACTGAAGCTCTGACAGAATCGAAATACGTACACATTGGAACGACGACAACCGTAATAGTAGCGATCGAATGGTGATGACATCGATCCACTTATGTCGATACAGATAGCTAGATTCATACAATTTCGTTTGTATGTTTCTTCATTCAGATTTGAATTCAATCCAACAGTCATATAATATTCATGCAGTTCCTGTTCATTTATTATTTTTAGAGGATTTTTTGTAACAGCTATTGAATAGGATGGACAAAATAATTGTTTTCTATCAGTATCTTCTTGTTGGTCACCAGTAGCAAAAAAATAATCATTAAACAGACCTTCATAGGATACATCAGTTATAACAGGTAAATAATTATTTTGAATATTCATACGAAAATTATTTATATCTTTTGCACCACCTACAGTAAATCCCAATCTTGAACGTCCACCTCGCAAACCTATAAACAAGAAGTCTATATAAATACGAAAACTGAAGAAATTTTGATACTAACGATGAACAAGATGAAGAGTTGATTTATTCTGAATGTTATAATCTATTAGAGTACGTCCGTTTTCTAGCTGTTTTCCATTAAAAATAAGACGTTGTTGATCAAGCGGCATACCTTCTCGATCTTGAATTTTGGTTTTCACATTTTCAATTGTATCTGAAGATTCGACTTCGATTGTAATTAGTTTACCAGTCATTGTCTTGATAAAAATTTGCATACCACCACGGAGACGAAGAACAAGATGAAGTGTACTGTCTTTGTGAACGTTATAATCGGCCAATGTTTGGCCATTTTCAAGCTGCTTACCAGCAAAAATAAGACGTTGCTGATCAGGTGCAATACATTCTTTGTCATGAATCTTGGCTTTGACACTTTCTATACTATCACTCGACTCCACTTCGAATATAATAGTCTTGCACGTGACCGTTTTTACGAAAATTTGCATATTGCTTGCTAATCACTATGGATAGAGTATTTGTAACGTACTTTTAAAACGTGTTAATGTAATGAAACTGTGTTTCAATGCAATGTTTTATAATATGTCAATGAATCATCTGAATATTATTTCTTGATATGGTGCAATGCAAAAGAAAAGAAACGTTGATCGATTAAACATAAAAAACAGAAGAATGGAAAAAACATGATATTAATGCAGGAATAATAACAGGATAGTCATCTGCTCGAATGTTTGAGGTGATTATTAGATTTATATGGTGCAAGAACCGATCGAACTTATGCTGACATAAGCATTAGCACAGAGAAGAAAAAACCTCGGAGAATGCAGTTTAATCCTTGAACATTCTACTAGGTGTTTATTATGTTGACTGGAAACTTAAAAGTTATTTTCCATCAAAATCAAGCATAGAAAACTTGTTTTGGACAGAAAAATGAAACAAATCAATTGTGTTTTGTCGAATGATACCTTTTCAAAAAAGATTCACTTTCTATATTCAATAGTATAAAGATGGAGGGTGTGGATAGGCGAGTGTTGGTTAAAAGAATATTCGCACCCACACGCACACCCCACTTTTGTCAACAATCTCGATGCGAAAGATCTGGCGCACATATTATATCAAATTGAGTAAATGATAAAGAAAGTATTTCGAATACTGACCAAAACCTAAAATTATATCAATCAATTTATAACTGATTTAATTAAGACAGAAACAGACGAATGTGCTGTTGATTTCGACTTTTGACAAGTTTTAATTAATAGAATCATAAGTATTTTTAAGAAATATCTTGTTCTGAGGAAAGAAAGACAAGTTTTTTATAGATTGTCTCTGCAATGAACACAATTAGAAGAGAAACTTCATTTTGATACATATGCGTCATCAATGTTTCGTATAACTAAAATTGTATGTAATAGGCACTGAAAAAACAAAACTTTGAATTTTACGCGACAGAAATTAACATCCAACTAAAGGATACAAATCCTCATTAAAAGGTTAGAACTTGTATAGAGTCAAAATGAAGACCCGACAACCGATTCAATTTACTATACTGTCTCACTGTATCTAAGCCATCGACGTGAGCCCAATGCTCAATAATATATCTTCTAAACGTTTCATTTTCCAAGTGCCGATTTATTCGCTAGTTATTGCTGAACTGTTGATTCTATCTATTTAAAACAATACCTCGCAAGCTTCGTAGAGATAATATAATTACATCATTTTTGTTACGAAAACAGATAAGCTCTTCTGCAGTCCTGCCGTTTTCGAAGTTATTCTTTATTCATGCGAAACTTATTTCAGTACCTCTGATCAACGTATTTATCCTCTGGTTTTATATTACCAAGATGTTTAATGTAGATTTTCACAGAGTCACTCATATTGTTTCCAAGCGTTAAACCGAAGCGTTTGCCGAGATATAGACAATACCTTTTCAACAGTAGATTTTATAAGTGTCAGAAGTATCCATTGATTTACCTGATGTTATTAGATAATGAACAATGTACATAAGTAGGAGCTGGATTTAAACAAAAAGAGAACAATAAAATCTTCATCCTGATTGAGAAGAGTATCTTCAAATCTCATTCGTTCATCCACTAGTGATTCTTTTCCTATACGCTCAAATTTGTGACACACAATATGACGTAAAAAGTTTTGTTATTTTCACCAAATGCAAGATTATTCGTCTAATTTAGAGCTTGCTTATTAACCATGTGGTTTTAAGTTATAATTTTCCACAAAGGGCTCTCAATTAGATTTTACAATATGCCTTGTAGCAGTAACATGCCAAACTGAAAGCGATATTAGATTATACGTATGATGTCACAGATATAGTTCGAACTCGATTCTTTATCAATATAACGACACATCATAGCAATGAATTGTTTTCTAATACGTTTTTTCATGATTAGAATAAATTAGGATAAATACAAGCACGACAACCAGCACAACAACAATCATAATCATGTATGTGGAAATTTAAGCGATAAAAAAGTAGCTTATTTTAAGCCACTTTTAAGTGCTTTGAACATATTTAAGCGCTACGCAGCTGCTGTCCAATAGATGAGTTCTAAACAGCTGCTAAGGACTTAGAGTTTGACTTTTTCAGCTGCTAAAGCGACTTGGATGAGCTTTTACTACTGTTTTAATCACTGGTAAGCACTTAAATACCTTCAAAACACTTAAAAGTGACTTAAAATGTGGATGTGGGTGGGTGTGGTTTAGTTTTTCTCTCCATATTCACCCACACCCTCAATATTGATTATTTATGCTTCCAGAAAATAAGAAACTTCTTGATAAACATTCTTTTTTCTGTTTGCCATATCTTAATCGAAGAAACCTCATGTTGCCAGTTCTGCTTCAATAAGTTGAACACAATGACCAAGTCCATCTTCGTTCTTAATCAATTCACTAATTCTTTTGGCATTCATCACATACATCTTATAGTTATCGACCATAAGATCATGAATTGCTTTGCTCAAATTCTTCACATTTGTCTCGCGTATTAGAATATATCTAGGTCCTAGCTTATTGATGAATATCCGATCGCCATTAAATGGTTGATCAGCTCCAAACGGTAATATTAATGTAGGTAAGCCATAACGTAGACTTGCATGTGTCGTTCCAACACCACCATGATGAATCGCTGCTGACATGTTCAAAAATAACCAACTATGTGGGACACTTTCCTTTAAATAGAATATATTTTCAGTATTGGATAAGTTATCAATGTGTGTCTGTTCGAAGCCAAGCAATGATATAACTGCTTACAATTACTGTTTTCGAGAGCCAATTGAATGTTGTTGAGAAATTGAATTTGTTCCTCTACTTGAAATATGACACTCATCATCGATCCCATACCAACATAGATGATATTTTCACTTTTCCATTTGTTCAAAAAGTCAAGAATCGAAGCTGACGGTTCAAAATGGTCGTGTCTTTCTTCGAGAATAGGACCGACCATATGATCATTTTCTTGCCAATCGGAAGGTCGTGGGAGTAAATACTTTGAAAAGATCGTTATAGTTGTCATTCGCTTGTGAAAGATGGATTGAATCATCTGATCATAACTCACTTTAATTGGTGGCAAATCGATACTGGCACGAAGTTGATTGATTTCATTATTATACATATTAAACGAAACATGCTCAAACATTTTCCATTTCATCGTATTGATCCAACCAAACATACTTTCACTTTTTCCACCGAAACCCGGTGGAGAAAATTCAGCTGTTCGCAATGAAGGAAATGTGTAGATTCCGATTGCTTTTGTGTTCGGAAATTTTTCCATGCAACTTAATCCAGCTACAAGAGATCCAATGGACAGAATAATCAAATCCGCATCTTTCACACCGCATAAAATTCCCTTGAACCATTTTTCAAGCATTTGTAAATATATATTTTTTATTAAGCTCATTTTAAATAAACTTGGGTTTCGTCGTAGCTCGATTCCTTCGGGTGTTGATGATAAAACGAGTTCCATGTCACCTTCAATATCAATTGTATCGATACCTACAGAGTAAAGACGATTCTTCTCAATTCAGTAATACAAAATCTATACTGTTCTCAGAAAATAGTAGCAATAATTACTTCAAGAATTACTCCTAATCATTTTTCATGATTTCACAAACAAAAACAGTATGAATACATCGATCAAGTTTATTTCTCATTATATTCAGTCTAATCATTGTGCCCAAAACGAAGGGTATATTGGATATTGGGTCAAACAGAGCTCAGAATCGTTTTTTTTTTAATTTAAATCAAGTTATTGATATTATCATAGTACTTAAAGATATACTTAGATAAAACTTTTGTAACCTCATTCATCAAAAAAGAAAAGTTGTAGCTGAACTCACGACGAGCTTTACTTCTCAGCAAAAACTTCAAGAGGTACCTTTTTTCTTCATTTAAAGATACATTCATTAGTTTTGATACTAATGTTCAGTTAGAAAAGCTGTACTATTAGAAAAAGCTTTCTGCAGAATTCATACAGCATCAAAATGGAAAAAAAGATAGATTTTCTCTACTCTTTAAGTAGAATTATAGTAATATGGATCATTGTGACACTCGAAACTTTATCGATCACGTCTGCCTCTCTGCCACATCTGTCACGGTAGAAAACTTTTATATTCTGTCGAGCACGTGTCTGTGGAATAAACAAGAGTTAAGTTCAGCAGTTCACTGTTCTCTGTATAGTTCGAAAATCATTTTCAATCTTGATTCACAAAATTTATATTTATCTAGGCTTTTTCTTAAACCTTGATGACAGTATGTTATCATATGATATCTATATTTCTGCAATTGTTTATCTTTTTTATTGTGCCGCATTTCTTTCCTTTTTTCTTTTTGTTCTTGTCCTTTCTTTTGATATATATATATATATATATATGTATGCGGTGACCTAGTTAGAAAAAAGATGAAAAGAAATAAAATAAACAGAAGTTTATGTTCTACACCATCAAACTTATTTTGCCTTTAAAGAAAAGTAGAACATAGCATAGTGCTGTGGAACTTTATTTCAATTTTTAAAGCTATCACTTTGTGAAGGCTGGTCAGGCACGGACATCTTGCTATGTTTTTCTCGTAGCGCATAATTTAGAATCGAAAAAGAAACATTCTTTTACAGTAACTAAATAAGAGACTGTGTTATGGACAAATAATGGAAAAAAAACAGTGATAAGCTGTGTAAAAGCTCGGTATTCCTAGATTTTTTTCTATGACCCACAAGCTATGATCCGTCATTTCTCTTTATGAAAATAAAAAGTTATCTCTTTCGATAAAAACAAATGAAGATCAAAGTCATTTATACAAAAAATAACAACTTGTCTCATTGAAAACTCATTAGTGTTCAATGTTCCTGAACCAAACTTTTGATAATATTAGATCAATCGATGGTATATATGTATCACACTTACCGGCACCTTGTACTAAATCTTGAAAACGTTTGTGTACACCTAACCATACAGTATGTCCCCGTTTTTTAAGCTCTTCGGCGAGAATTAAGAACGGCTTGACATCACCAAGAGTACCAATCGTCGGAATAAAAATCTTTTTACTGATATTGTCCTTGCTAGTGCTATGTTCATCATCTTGCCCAGCGATCAAGCTCTTCAACTGACTTGACGATTCCATAGGATCTAAATGTCTATTTACGAATCTAAAATTGTATAAAATCATGGCAAGTGTCTGATTATACAGGATAAATTCAAAAATAAACGATAATCATAAAAGAATAAGGTGCGTCGTGTGAAGACCCATAGTCATATTAACTGGTTCGAAATATTCTACATCGTGCAGAGTCGATAAAAAATTACATTGTCGGAACAAGTTTGAAAAACGGGACATGATACATAAATTTTCCCGGAGAGATATGATTAAGTCTCAAGCAGATTTTTTTTTAAATATATTTCCTAGGCAAAACAGCAAGGACCTATCGTTGTCCATCTTTTTCTGAGCGACAGGTTTTTTTTCGTTCTGATTCATGGACATATATACATGTATGTATATATGTTCATGAGTGTGCGGATATGGGCTAGGATCTGGGTGGAAGTGTGTTATTCACGAGAAGTCCAGTACTCACACCAGATACTCATATCCACACACTTTTATCAAAATAAAAGTATAGTTCATTTACTTTAACAACAGTAAATAGGAAATAGTTTATTTAATTGTTTATCAGTAAAGTAAAAGTAGAGTGCCATCCCTAATCTGTGGTAGTAAAATAACAAAATCTATTTTTTAAGTTGTACCAGTATAAGTTGTTTTGCCTTTAGTATTTGCCAATATTAAAAAATAAAATGATATTCATATTTTACACATAAACAAGTATAAATGAATACAATAATTTTCTATAACGAAAGATTAATTAACTATTGGATATATAAAAGTTATTAGTAATTTTCTCATATCGAAAAATATGATTGAGAAATAGCATCATGCATTATGGCTCATCTATATTTTGTTGAATCCAAAACTATAAGAAAAGTGAATGATCAGAAGCGGTATTTCATTTAAAAGATTTTTTCAACTCCTAAAATACTTGAATTAAAGCACAAAAATGAAAAAATATTGAAATTTATCATATTTCTCGTAAACTGGTTTCTATTCAACAGTGAAGTAAAGAGCCTAGTGTCTTTGTCAATCGCATTACTTGTGTTTCCTTTGCATTTTTAAAGAAAATGGAAGAGATAATGAATGGTAGAATAAAGAAGTAATATAAATGAATTCTCTTTATTCTGTATTACAAAAGTCAATTAACTGGTTGATGAATAAACTATGTTCTTCTAGATTTACATCTATTTTTAACAACTAAATAATTTAAATCTGATTTTCTAAAACATGCATGATTAACGTCAGAATTGAAGGTCATTTCTAGCGATGAAAGTCAAATTTTCTGTAAAAGAAAGTACATTTTCATAGAAGTAAAAGCTAGATTTGTGTCAAAAAAGACCAACAAAGTTATACAAGTACTGTCAGACCCATTTTTACGCTACTTTTATACAATAATGATATAAACGTTGTATTTATTACTAGTTACTGCCAAAGTCATTGATGATTCATCTTGGACACATTTTTCTATTTCCTCAACCTCCACTATGATGAATATTTCATATATAAAATAAGATTCATCCAACATGAGTATTTGTTGACTACAAACTTAAAATTGCGGCTTATTTAAATTAGTTTTATTTTGCAGAACAGATGTGTATTTCTCATTGCACAGATTTGTTAAATCATTCGAGTTTTAGAAATGAACGCAGAATCATCATTCACTAGCATACGAATCAATAACAACAATGTCAAAACAGAAAAACGAGAAATTTTTGATTGGCGCGTTCAGTAGCCATTAAACGTTAAAAGAAGCTAGATGACGAAGTAGGTGAGTAGTAAGGTATTTATTTAAAAAAGCTTTCCGAGTAATCCCTTTGGAATAAAAAATTCAAGTGGGTTGGATTCTTGTCACGCGTAAGCGACAGTCTTAGCTTTATCATTTATTGCCGGTAGTGACCAGTTAAAAAAATATTCAAATATTCTTGACAGTGCTTATTGTATACACGAGTTGTTATCAATTTATCGCGATACCGTTGAACACTCGAATAGTTATGAATCAAAGATGGGTGTGAGTGGGTGTGGGGTCTGGGTGAGTATTAAAAAGTATCCACACATCTGCAACCCACCCCCACACCCTTAAAGTTCAGTTAGAAAACGAAAAAGATATCTAGAAGTTTTGGTTGAAATATATTTTTCTATGCGAGGTCGATCAGGTTGTTCTTTTTTGCTAAGTAGATTCAAAGCTGATCTACCGCCTTGGAGATTTATCAAGCCAACATATGCACTTGTGCATTAATGACGAAATAGTGTAAGGAATCTGCTTTGATCGTGATTCTTCTACCACTCCTTTGGTAACTTCAGCCAATATCATACGAATATCTTCGTTAGGAGTTGTAATATGTTGTAGAAGATGCTTTGTAAATAAACTATTTCGACTGTGATTTTCGTCGATTGTAATAGTTCCGGGCGCACAAGCAAACGCTATCAACGACCCAACATTAGCATTCATCGCTCTGAGACCAGGTAATGACGAATTAATTGGCATCGGAGAGCCCGCATCCAAGTGAGGATTACGTAAGTAGTAGTTTCTACAGCAATCGAGTAAAAAAATTGTCACATAAGGATTCCGATCTGTGAAATTGTTTAAAATGTCTTGTGCCTTAATTGCATACCGATTTAAATCTTGACCATGTGTAAGACCATTATCTCTTGGTATGAGATAGTTCATGTCCTAAAAGTACCATATGTAACATTCGATCCTGAGTGGTGAAAAATAGCTTCATATTCAAAAGACTGTGGCACTTACTTCCCATTGTACACCGTTACCACTAAAATAAAATAATATCATGTCTCCAGCTTGTACTGATTCTTCAAAATCAATAAGGATATGTTTCAGCTCATTACGTTTGGGATTTAGTGTCTTCGTAACAATAAAGCCGATACTCTCAAGTGCATATGACAGATCATGTGCGTCATTTTCTGAGTTTTCTAATTTACAATCCTCATATTCGCCAATACCAATTACAAGTGCTAATTTGCGATGTGGTCTATCTGTAGTCTCAGCTTTTGCGTTAGTAGACATTAGGAAAATGGATGATTTCAATCTGAAAAAAAGCATTTTTATAAAAATGGGTATTGATACCAAGATATGGTATGTAACGAAATGCAGGATCGATACTATCATGTAAAACAGTATTTAATCGGTTGAATAAACGTGAATAAAATTCAAATAGTAGCTCGGTGCTCTGGTCACAAAGCTTCATTCGAATTCATCCTATGCATTTCTCATTTGAATTTTATTAGAATGTCACAGGAAGTTAGCATGTTTTCGTATTATGGATCGAACTTGCCAGTGGGAATGTTGAAGGTTTCCAAAAGTTGTTTCTTTGTCATGGAATATAGACCACCGAGTATCTATTGTGGTTACCTTCCTCTTGAATCTACCAGGGATAAACAACCTGTCAAATATGTGGCAGAAGGCTAAATTAATCATGAAAAATAGTTAGAGTATTTTGAGATAGACAGTATCTACGTCAAAAAGTGATTGAACAAGAGTGTTAAATTTTAACATTAAATTATTAATTAAAAAGAAACCAATAAAGTCGTCTGTATAGCCATACCATCGGTTACAGGAATACTGAAACTGTCTTCGATCAGATGAAGTTAAAATCTCGGTTTACTTTTAACAAGAGTAGGTGTTTTTCAACATCTATCACAAATTGTCCGCTCAGGAAAGACCATCTAGATGCAACAAAGAATAAAGGTGATTCGTACTGTTTGCATTGCTTGCGTTAGTTACAAAAGCGAAATAACATCTGTTTCAGCGACCCACTTTTCTTTCGTCTTGTTGTGAAAATAAATACTTGTTTTTTAAGGTGCACTTGAATAGTAGCTTTCACTTGTGCTGAAAATCTTTGACAAATAATCTATGAACAGAATGATTTGTTTGTTGTTGGCAGCGCATTTTCTTTCTTCATTAACGATAAAATTTTTCTGTTCTTACAATAATATTGACTTTGAAAATTCTTGAAAATTAACATATCATTCCAGCATTTGCAACCATTTTGGAAGTCATTTTCTCTCCGAAATAATCAGCTTGAAAACTTATGATTGGAAAAAACATCGACCTTGACAACCAAGAAAAATAGAATTGTTGCAATCCTTTTCATGTAACATCGAAATTATTTGTCCATGCGTGCGAGTGTTGAGTGTTTGTGTATGTGGGTGTGGTGTGGTGTGTAGTGTGTGAGGTGTGGGTGATGGTGTAAAATAGATCCCTACTCACACACACAGCCACCCATACCCTTCAATGCCGAGTTGAGTCAGTCAGAGCACTTAGTTTCAATTGAACTGTGGTCTGATAAAAGAACGACGAGCGATCTAAAAACACATCGGTACTATGCCACGTGCATATTGGTCGAGTCAATATCGAATACATTGGTTTTTTCATCTTCTGCTGTTTCATTCATACCGTTACTTCTCAAGAGTTCCTAACTACATTACACTGACATAAACAGGATGAACTTACTTTGCATTCTGTAGCAGAGATGACGCGTTCTCTTTGCAGCGCATGAATTATGTATACATACGAAACGAGAGTTACCTTGTGTACACAGCTTCTTGTCATATGCTTTCGCAGAAAGACGATGTGTTTTTATAAGGGACAACTAAGTAGAAGCATTTGTCTATGCAGATAACCTTGATGAATGTTTGAAGAATGAAGCATTTTGTTGACTGTCAGTGGTGGGTTTTTTTGGGAGACCGGAATTCCCGTCCACTGAATTTTCGACCCGTGACCTCATTGACCCTTAATAAAAAACTTTTTAATTAGTTATTAGATATCCCAGTGCTGAGCAGGAAGTCATAATGCTCAGCAGTATGGCGTTGTGCTGAGCAGGGTGTGGGTGGGCGCGGGTGTATCTTTGCATGTGCATCTGGATAACCAAAAGAACTAAACCTGCGCCCACATCTCATCCATACCCACACCCTTATATTATATTTGTAATACTGTTTGGTTTTCTATTCAATACACTGTTTCTCACTTTTGGTAGATATCGATAATTTACTGTTCTTTTCTATCTTTTTTTCTCTTTTATTTTTTGCATGTACATCTGTCAACTATGAAATATGTTACCAAAGATTGCACTCATCAAAAGCAAACCATGCAGGCTGACAAGCACATGACGCTGGAATTCTGCCAACGAAAAATATACTTAATCATTTAAGAGGGGACCCCTCCCCCTCAGAAAACCGATTTGTTTTTCAGAAAAATCGATTTTTAGATAAGCATATATACTGAAAGCACAAAGTGTCCTCTTTCAGATTATGCATGATTTGTTGCATTTTTAAAGGTTTTGAGTGGTGAAAATAGCGGTTTTCTGGGAGCACTGGTAGAAATATAAGGTTTTATCAGAAACTTTTTTAGTTAGGGAGATGTAACAGTGGTCAACAAATTTGTAGATTTTGGTTAAAGAAAAACACATATACGTTCTGTTACATTAATTAATTAGAGGAACGTAGTCATTTCTGCTTAAAATCCTGTATGCATGATGAAATTGCCGTATAGAGGTCGTGATAGTCATAGTGAAATTAAAAATTGTTTCATACAAACTTGTTGATTGGTTTTCTCAAAATCACTTTTTTGGAGAGCTCGGAACCGATTTCTTAGACTGTAGAAGAGCTAGCGACCTACTTTTTTTTTTAAATAAAAGGAGAGACCTATGTCTAGAAATGTATATAGCGTTTTTTTCGAAACTCGATTTCTTTGCCGAGATAACTGGATAACACTGATGTCAAAAAGCGCTAAATTCCGAGTTATTGCAGGAAAATGTCTCGGAAATCCGAATAAAATCGAATTTCGAAAAAAAC